ATTACACATTCAAACTTGATACTGTATCAATCTTTTTCTCATGGCGTTTGATCCATAAACCTCGCAAATTTCCTTTATGGTGCCTCTATGTGCTACATAATGGGAAATTTGTCGCGTTCTTGGATCTTATTCGAAAGCAGCGGGACATTTTTGTTTATCACTTAAATAAAATTATTGCAAATTAGTGGAGTGATATTATTTAATTTTACAAGTGGAATAGAGCTATGATTTCCCTAATAATGCTATTCGGATTAAAATTGCTAATATCAAAGTCTTTGAGTGCTAAATATTTTTATTTACTTTTTCGATAATTCAAAACATATGCTCTAAAAAGCTCGTAATACCTGAAGTATGACTACACCCTAGAATCTTAAAAACATTTACAATATTGATATACTACTACACTTGACATTCCACTGCCTTCAACCGCAAATAATCCTTGTACCAAAAACAAATTGAACCCCGATTTGCGTGTTAATTGTATATTAACCTCTTAAACTTAATTGATTTTTCAAAATTAGTAGCACGAATTGCTTTAGAAGTAATTAATACGACTTACCAAAGCTGCAGTAAAGAGAAGGAAGCCATACAGCAGTGTTTGGGCGATCATGGTTGTACTGCGTGCGTTCAGCGTTTGACACCGACAACACAAGACTCGAGGCGGCAATAGATGTCAGTCTAAGCAACCACAGTATTTATTAAGCCTCGAGTCATTGTTTGCTCCGCAGCTGTGAATTTGTTGAGAATTGAGGCGAACCTGCCACCCGCCTTTGCAGCCTTGCGTAACATCAAATACGTTATACAAAGTGTTGTATCCTTGCGTTTGCGTCACTTGAAATCTGGTCGAAATTGTATCGTATCACATCAAGGCGGACAAGCTATCTGTATGCTCAATTGCCACGTGCCTTTTCCTTGCCCTCTACTACACTAACCTCTTTCCCCCTTCGGCTGTATAAGTAACAACACGGAGTAAACTAAGGCAGTGTTATCCTGACACCCGAGTTGTCTATTCTTACCAGCCCACACTCGTACGATACATGGTGTCAGAAGGGGGGGCAATAATCAATAAACTGAGAACCGTTTTTTTTTTCGGTACATTCAAGGTTACAGGCGGTTATAAGGCAGCGGAAAAAGTACTGAGTTGGCTACTTAACACAATGCGAATTAAGAGAAGTATATTTTTTTTCAAAGGTTCTAGCGACTGGAAGTGACCCTAATACGTTCATTTGATTATTAAAATAAAAAATTAAGCGGTGTTTTTTATTAAAAAGAAAACACGGTTAGACAACTGAATTTCAAGTTTCCGCTCCATTCGATGAAGGTGCATCCTTGCTATGCTCCGTTTTACTCTAAAAACCGACTTGGAGATTCGTCTTTTGGCGGGAAAAAACCAAACGGATCCCAGTTTGCCATAGATACGCTCGGGTTTGGGCATATATCCTCCTTTATTCTTCAAAGCCCATCAAATCGCAAAAGACCTTGGTTTGAGGCTTGTCGCTGTTTGTTTCTGTTTGTCGCTCTAGTGAAACTTGAACATTATAGTTCGATTAATGGACAGTGTTGTCCGACTTCTATATATAAAAAAAATAATTTTTTTTCGGTATCAAATAATTCACAAAGTAAATAATTTTATATTTTATAAAGATGATTACCGATCTTCACAGACAGAGAAAGACACGCACGTATAAACTTGTAACGGCCACTGAAACAGCGCGCACGAAGAAGATGGCAACGTCACTCACGAAGTGAGGTCACACGCACGCTACGCGATTCACGTCACCAGAAAGAGCGATCAGCGACATCGGTCCACGGCACGCAACTCCCCAAGCCGACAGCATCCCAACTACGAGAACATTCTCAGATGGCAAGGAAGCAATAGTATACTAGTGTAAATAAACTACGAAGGATTAACTCCTTATAATGAAAACTGTGCGTGTTAAAAAGGTTGAATTTTACGCACGGAATATAAACAAAGAGGACGGAGCACAGGACAAGACATCTTTTATGTAGCAACAGGGATACGGTCCATTCGTCACATGCACACTCGTCACAGGACGATTGGTCACAGGACGATTCGTCAGACAGGAACATTCGTCATAGGATGACTCGTCACGCGGCCAACCGGTCCCACAATAGTTCGTCCCCCAAAAAATGTATTGTTCATTTTGGTTCGGGCAAACAATGTGGCTCACCTCATATCTTAGCATGTATTTTGCTTCTCAAGGTCAAACAATTAGTAACAGACGTTTTAGCTTCTGGGTCCGTCCCGAATGGTGAATGCGGAGGTCATATAAGAGCGACTATTTTTGAACTCGGACTAGATTCAAAATAATGGAGGTGATCGCAACAGAGAGAGGTAGAGCCACGATGCCGCACGAGGAGTACTCGTACACATTCAGAAGAAAGATTTCCGATACTTATTGATTTTATCGAATAGGTGTATGCAAAGCAAAAGTAAAAACTGATTTGGCTGCCAGTCGGAGTATTGCTCGTTCATGCCAGCAACTGAGATCAACCTGCTGAAGACTCGTAATATAATGAAAGTAAAAGCGGAGGAGTATCCTAAGATTAGTTTTCCTAACCATTGGTTTATGTGACAGTGGGAAGTCGTGAAACTCGCCATCACGGATTGTGGGCTGTTGTTGAAACTTGTGGTTTACTATCGTCCCCTGCCCGATCGATGTGACCAGTTGCCCGCATGACGAGTCATACTGTGACGAATGTTCCTATGTGACGAATCGTCCTGTGACCAATCGTCCTGTGACGAGTGCGCATGTGACGAATCGTCCTCATCCCGTAGCAACAAACAATATTGAAAGAGAACAAACGAAACATTAAGAATGAAACCTATCTGTTTACTCTTTCGTGTGTAAAATGAAACATACGTAGTTTCAATATTTTAATTCGTTTAATATTATATATCTAATAACTTGAATCTTATATATCTGGCGTGCTTTCGAGCTACCCGAACTAGACACGTTTTATAAAGTACTCAGTCTAATCTTGCCGGTGTTAGTGCACGCGCAGAGAAGTAGAAATAGACGACAAACAAGGACATCCCCACGCAGCTGGACCGATAGCTCCGCCATGTGCCATCAATTTCCTTATGTAAACATGTTGAAACATATTTGTCCCGCTCTCAGAAAAGAATACTTAATTCAAACTTTGCTCGTTTATTGCCTTAGTTACACGCTACACATGGGCGTAAATTATGTAGTTCTAGACGTACCTTTTGGCTTTCGTTTACAAAATTGCGGATTTTTCAATAATTTCAATACTGGCAATAAACAAAATTCAAAAATTGTTCGCTTCTAAAAATACCTGTTTTATCATTTGCCCCTTTGTTTTGCAAACTGTACACTATATATAACCGTTGAATGTATATTTCTAGGGCGACGACATTTATACTTTTTTTTTGTTGAAAACTGGGTATTTTGATTGATTGCTTTTTGGGATTTTTATGGCGTACAGCAACGAAGACCATAATACGCCAAATTGCATTTGTCAGGCTAAAAAAATTAAATGAGAAGAAAAGCAACTGAAGCTAAGTCAATGCTATGTTAAAACTGGTATAAACAGCCATTTAATTTTAAAATGTTATACCAGTTATAACAGATATAAACAGCAAGCCATTTTAAAAAGTTCGGAACGCGGGTAAATGGTATTAGAGGGTGATTGCCAAGTAAAAACAAAGGGTGGAATGGAAGATGACACCTAAAAAGTTCAGGGAAACACGAAGGAAGTATGTGGTGATGAACACCACAATGCAGTACGATTTGCATAAGTGTTAACACTTCTCCACACTTCTTACCTTGTTTTACATCCTTCCAACAAAGCAGGTGCAAATGTGTCAGACGGGTATGACCAATTCTCAAGGGACACACAATAACCTCAAGATAACGTTCCCTGTGAGATTAACCCTCCCAGATTCCGAAAGTAGCCAAGATCAACTGAAGCTTGTTCTTAACTTAAGTGTCTCATTCCAACTGCAATGCTGTATGAAATGCTGTTTTTAACAGAGGTCTAAGTTCCTGGTGGGGCAAGGCTAAAGATGCTATGTCGAGATCGTAGACAATGCAGACAATTAATCAGCCTTATAGTTGCCTGTAATGCCCACATGACTAGGTTCCCCGAAAAATGTAATGTCGTGTCCAGATGGAAGAGCCTGATTTATTTCATGAGGTACATGCATCGCAACAACATTTGTCTTACTAAGTATATGTGCAACTGCCAGTAAAACACTTCTCAAATCTATCAAAAGAAGAGCTTTCAATGTATTGTTTTTTGTTGTATATTCCACTGTGAATAAGATACCATAAAAGTCTGCTGCAAAATATCTGCCAGGGGTCCAAGTTGCGCAGCTTTACAGCGGGAACTGGAATATGCAGCAGAGCGTATACAAAAGGCGATGAGTTAGAGACTCAGTATAGAACTCTGTGGAATTGCTACACGTCTGATGCAAAGAGAGAGACTCTTGCTGGATGACCTGTGGAAAAACAGCCCGTTTACTATACTTCGCAAGAGTCTAGCGTACTACTACTCTTTATACGCAATTAAAGTATTTCTAAAAAAAAACAAAAGATTGATTTAGTGGTTTTGGATAACGCTCAGTAAATTTTTACTTGGAACCTTATGTCTATTTTGACTAATACAGTTTAATTAACACATAGTATTTAATTAGCCCACGTATCGTTATGATTAGCCGCATATACTATGTCGCCCTGGCCGTATAACTCGCCAGCAGGAATCGCGGAAATGTAGCATTGACGGGTTTTGTTTTTAAATTAGTGTGACTCTTAGAAAATCACCCTGTGTATTCCATATAGTAGATGAAGAAAATGATGCCGTGCCGTAAGATATAACTCCGAAAAGGATGGCCTAAGGTGTACTCATATCTTTATTGGAGGACGTTTCAATTCTTCAGTCGCAAGAGAGTAATGTTTGGAACTGCTTTCTTCGGATCTTTATTTCTTCAAAAGGCTGTTTGAGTCACTCGGTTGTGGTGCACCAACTTTATTCCTCGAAAATATATTTAGCCAAGCTCGCAGTGTGATGCGTTAATTCTCTCTCGGTGGTGGAAAGGTGGTAGCTCTGAGCTACGTTTGCTTTAAACAGCCCCTTTGCCTGGAATATGACGGAATCTTCTTCGTGTATTAATTGTTCATGTTTAATGTCGTTCACATTAAAGTACTTCCATGTTAGCCCAGTGGGTGATTCAAACAACGCTGCGACGTATCCCTTCATGGTAATGTTTGATTCCCATGGCACCTCCTAAAAAAATAAAAATGGGAAAGACTGTTATAGTGTGACCCTTATTGAAAGGCACAACAGTTCAAGAAGCGCTCCTGGACGTTCAAATTTACTTGATTCTAAACTTTCAACCATAAGGAGCGTTAACCCCTTACCTGGTTTGTCTGTAATTCTGGTTGTTCTTTAAACGGCTCGTAGAGATTCAACAGTGATATTGCTTTATTGAGCACTTAATGAGCAAAACAACAATCAAAATTACGCTTCTTACTATTGTAAGTCGCTGTCACACTACTCACACCTCATACAAAAGACAGTCTGCAAACACGGGTGACCACAATATCCGTGGTTCGAATGCCATGTGCCAAGTTTCTCCATGATCTCATCGCCGAGCGGCATTCGAAGCACGAATCTCGCGGTGACTCGCGTTCGAATCTGTCTGCAGACCGTCTTTTGTATGATGTATACGTGCAGTGACTCCGGTTGTAGGAGTTACTTTAAAGCGGTTAAGAAACAGTCTTGGGTGACGTGAGAAGCAACGCATGAGAGACGAACGATAGCTTTTCGTTGACCCTTCCCGAGACAAGTTCAATGAACCTTTTTCCAGTAAGCGTCTGCGCACGCGCACACCCTTTCCCTTGACCTCGACCGCTCTTTCGCCATTCTTGGGGGGCACTCTTCTGTTGCGACACTAATCTGTTCCTACGGGAGAAGGCAAGTCCGGTTGCCCTCCATTTGTAGTAGGCGGCGAAACCGTCATGGAGGCACTCCTTAGTGGAAAAAGGTCCATTACAGGACCCTTACGCCTGACGTCACTTTCGGACACGCTAGCAAACGTCTCTGGAAGTCTTCTTTTACTCTGTTAGTGTCCACGTTAACTGTTATGCCCATCTTATTGCACTAAGCTTCGGCGGAACCACCAACTTTTGGCGGTTCCGTCGTTGGCTTAGTGCAAGCTCCGACCTGAAATCCTATTCCACTTCTTTCGAGCGGAGCATCTGTGGAAGCCAAGCTTAGAGCTTCAAGCTAGCGTTGACGCGTTGATAGTATACAGCCTTCGAAAAATGGCGCCCACTGTTCCTGGCTTTAGAGAGCAACAGTGGGCACCATTTTGTGAATAGACACACGCGTTTCGCGTGTGTGTCTATTCACATTCGGTGACGAAAGCAGGCGGATATCATTCTTTAGAAGGGGGCGGGGGTGTGGCGACATAGGTTTCGTGTTTATCTTCTTTTGCCGTGCTTTTCAATGAGGCTGAACATGAGCAAAATATTAGTTTGTTATAGGACCTCAAAGCGGATGACTGATATTCTCCAACGTTGAATTCTTTTACAGTGTTTAGCGGAAGCGTGTTTTTTCTTTCTTTCTTTTTTTTTTTTTTTTTTTTAACATCCGGCAGTCTGCATTTTTAATAAAAGAAGCGAATATTTTCGAAACGAAAGTAATTATTTAAATATTTTCTGTTCTGCGTTTTGCGGGAGGCAAATACAGTTTCGTTCAATATAACTTCGTTGAGAGATGGTTCAATACACGGTGCAATTATACAAGAGCGTGTTCGCACTGTAACTTTTAAACGGGTGGTTTATATAAAAAAATATTAAATTTTACTCACCACTTGCGCTTTGCTGACATACCACTTGGCTTCAATAATGGCTCCAGGGGGTATTCTTACATCTTGTTTAATCCATTGTCGCGTAGTGCGTGTTTCGACCGTGGTGGATCCAGAACTAGTCTTCAGTGTTCCTGAAAATTCTGTGCTGAAACTATATACTAGTGGAACTTCTACTTTGAACTTGACCTTAAGAGATAATTCTGCTCCACTGGTAACGGTCCACATGTACTCGTCTTCCTGTTCTATTTGTTCCGATATATAAGCCCTGTCCTCCACGTCAGACTGGTTGTTGTGAAAAGTCTGGACATAGACAGCAGACAACTCTAGCGATTGTACTTTAGCAGTGCCGTACGTCACCGGGCCGACGTGGAACTTCACAGGTGGGTGTCTGCATTGAGAAACATTCAGATAACTTTGGAGTGCGATACATTCGATAGCATATAACCACGATTTTCCATCATGCGAGAGAAGTTTGGTTCTCGCTGCGCTATCAAATCAATCGCAAAAATCACCAAAAACATTTTGTTCTTCATTATAAGACCGCTAACGAGGCAATACTTTCAGGGCCAGACCAAAATCATAATTATCTGACAATAATGTTATTAGTAAATTAATCAATACGTTTCATGGTATTCAGCAACAACATTGCGGTTATTGTGCAGGGATACTAAACAAAAATACGATAAACACAATATGCGGATGGAAGAAAGAGCCCACGAACCAGACAAAACTCAAGCACACACTGACTAGAGATGAGCACAAAGCGAAGATTGCACGAAATCGTGTTATTATGAAACTAATTATGAAACTAAAAAAACTAAAACCTATACTCGCGGTCTGCTTTCTGTGGCAATCCGAAGAGAGGAGGAAAGCACGTGTACGGCGTTTGGTGCACCCTTTCCCCTAGCATTGAATGCATTACCACAGAAAGCTGACCGCCAGTATAGAAATGCTCCGGACCTAAGGGTCCTATTTTTTCATACGATTTCAAACGCCACGTGAAGGGTGCTTTATCCGCTTACAAAATTATAAAATACGTTTAGTAATTGATGTCTCGTAATTACTTTTCCCTTTTTGTTGCTCGGACTTACTTGAGTCCCTCTTTTGGCGAATAAATTAACTACGCTACGTTTTCCTTTAAGTCCGCCCTCAACCAAAGCCGCGATCTGAAGAAGCCAACCAATGAACGCCAACAGTGCGTCGTCATTAGCTTACTCGTTTTGTGGGTTCGCTATCATCGGCTAGACCAATCACACCCAGAAAAGAAGCGCATGATAAGAGCGGATTCAGAGTAGTCGATTCGTTTCGCCAGTCATAGCTAACGCCCAAAATTACGAGGCACTTTTGGCGCCGCTTCATTCAATCCATAGGATTCTAATAACGGCAAAAAAAAAAAGACAATTCTTAGAAAGAAAAAAAAAAAAAAAGAAAACGAGTTAGAGGTGTATTCAGACGTATTTTTATCCCGTGAATTTGAGTATCACGTTCGTGTTCACAGGGTATGTACTTAAACGCGAGAAAACACGAAAAACCTCTAACAGTCGTGAAGTCACACAAGGATCTTTGGTGCGCCAAGCGCGTGTCGCTCGTGTGGGCAGCGCGTGCATTTGCGAGCTTGCCAAGTATATTCACCCGCACTGACAACACTCGCGACGTCTCCTTTTTACCTTTTTCTGAAATTAGCGAGAGTGCGCGTGCACATCTTTGATAGCCGCTGCAGAAGCGCCAGAGAGCGGAGATTCCGGAAACTGCTAATATGACGTCACGCCCCGGAAGGAGGGGCTTGGGCGGTATTTTAGAAATTACTTTCTGCACCCTCCGTGCATTTAATTGAAGAATAATTTTGATATTCGTGATTCTGGACGCCAAATGAAGATAATTTAAAAGTTTTTGGTCAAATACAGAACGATTCAGTTTCTTTTTAAATTAAAACGAAGAATAGGGCGGGAACCGTCGAATATTCCAGACCAGATGCTCTAATCTGACACTTGGCGCACAAGTCGGCTAGGAATTCAGCGGCCGTGATTGGCTGGCGCCGCGCTTGACCATTGGGCCGGCAAATCACGGCGGTCAAATTCCTCGTCGACTTTTGTCAAGTGTCCTTGAACTTCACCAGACGCCCATTGGGAATGATAAGTTCCGGCTGTGTAAACATACACACAACACAATATTATTAGGTTGGTTTGCAGCGCATGCCCAGAACTAGCTCCCATTTATCGTTTAGCAAGAGAAAATATTTGTATTGCCTGGAATGGACGTTGAACGTGCATCCGAGTGCACTTACACAATAATGATACTTAAAACAGAAAGAAATACATGTAAATATATATTGACACACTATGAGGCGACCAAAAAATAGGGCATTTAGTTAGAAGTAAACACTAATTATTAGCTCATAAGTACGTTATGATTGGCGCACTGTTTTTAAAAATTGAATTCTAAAGTTTATTTAGAATTTTACAACCTTAATAAATAAACCAATTAATTGAAGAAGAGTAAAAAAAAAATGGAGCAAACCTTGTTTTAAGAAAAGCATGCAGTTATTATTTTTGATCGGTGTTTCCACGTCTTTTCTCTTGCCTTGGTTTGTTTGAAGACAAACGACATCTTCAGTGGTGAGCTCTTTCGCTATACTTCTCTATAGTGAAATGACATGTCTACTGGTAGATGTGAATAATTAACGCAAGAAATCTGTGGATTCTGCCCTTTGCTTTGAACAGTGTGAAAATAAGCAAACGACACGATAGAGGCAATCATTGCGAGGGCAGCCCAAGACTACATATCGGGAATTTGGAAAGTCAGTAGTGCTAAATAGCGACTGTTGGTCAGATAATAATCTTGGCAAGCACGTGCTTTCAATTTCTAGTGACTGTAGCTTAGCTGTGTTTTTATTCGGGCCAAAAACATAGCGCAACATACTCTGCAAGTTTTTCGGCGTTCCCAGTGGCACCTCGGGTTTTGTTGTCTCCTTCGATATCAAAAGTTAACACCCTTTCATTGTTAGAGCAGTTCGTCACGAGGAATTCGTAGATCGCATCTTGAACATCAAAAAGGTAGCCGCAACCTAAAAATAAAAGAAAGAAGGTTTGTGCTCTTTTAAGAACTAGCAGAATTTACTAGGTAAGAGCTAAAGCTGCTTGTCAACTATACTACAAGATACCTCGTAACCGTAGGTAGGAAAGGCCAAGCTAGTAATGTTTATTAGCCTCAACAATAGAGCCCATGTATTTCACAAATTGCTCTAAAACCCCCGAACCCAGGTGGCACTAGTCGACGTCCAATTCAAAATTGGCGAGAAATGTATTAGCGCAGAAATTGATTTTATTTCCACGCTGCTTACATGCACATTTTCATACGTATTATACATTTAACGCTGACAAGCATTCATAACATAGATGACACACACATACAACACACATGCGACGACACGCTAACTTTTAGTAAGAAGTAACGGTACACGCAGTAATTATTTACGACATTTACGGTAAAGCAGCATAGATGAAACACGCACAGCACACACGCGACAATACTCTAACTCAATCGCTGCTCTCAATGGCTACCCATGCGTCTTTCATGCTGATAATTTTAGAGAAGTCGGTTGGTTAGTGATCACCTTGTACGTCAACGATGTTACAAACGTGATGCTGCTTTCGCACCAAAATTATTGTCGAAGATTTTCGCTAAACGTACCAAGGATGGTTTCTCATGCTAACAAGGAACGGTAAACATAGTAATTATTTCCTGCAGTCTGTAAAACAACGTCCCTATAGGTACTCATCTGTCATGTTCTCGCTTCAGTCGCCCGTTTGAGGTAGTAAATGGATAGTAAAAATATAGTAATGGTCAGGAAAAGGTATACTGCCGCAGTTAATAACGTTTTACTACCTACCGCGCGTTTCATGTAGTAAATGTATAGCGAGTCAAAAGGTAGTAGCGGTAAAGAAGGTAGTAATTAACTGCTGCAGTTACCAACTTTTTGCTAACTTTTTTCTAAGAGTGTGCAGCTAAACCTCATTGGCCAAGAGTTGTAAGCGTGTTAAATGCGTGGAAATTTTGATTTTAGAAACAAATAAAAAAGGTTTGGTTAGGACTTGAAACGAATCCCCATTAACCCTAAAATTGACCGCCGAAGCTTCACAAAAAAGACAATAAAACAAACTTAGGTTTTGGAAAGTTGAAGTGCTTTTGTATCACATCGTCGGATGCCAAAAAAAAAACAAAACAACAAACTACGAAAGTCTAGTTTGCGGATTATATAAGCAGGGACTGGAAGAGGGTCTCAGAAAACCTTTTTTTTCTTCTCCAATAGCGTGATTCAAAACCTGTGTATCATAATCCGACACCTTCACCAGAAGGTCTTTTTATTCACAGCATGAACACCATGCCTTAGACGTCAACACCATAGGTTCATTCCTATCCCAGACCCTCGTTTCGAAAGAAAATGCAATCGACTCAAAAGTTAATTGACTAACCCTTCCCATATGAATATCATTGCTCTCCTTTTTTGTTGAAAGTAGTAAAAGCTGAAGTTCAGGATAAAAGAACATTTCTCCCTTTTCTTTCTGTTTTTGTTTGCGGCATATTTTTACGGCGCTTGTGAAGATTCAATTGCGTTAAAATTATAGTTATCTCTGGAATATATAAAATACTACAATTTTGCCATGTGAAAATATGTTCACGCACTTATATCAATCTACTACTGAAGCAGTTTCGCTGAACAGACGTAGCAACGCGACTGAACAGAGGTTTTCATCGACAAAAATTAGACTTCTTATCGCTCCTGCGCTGCATTGGGTGTGTAAATTGCCTTGGAAGGCACATCCAGTTGAATAATCAGAAAAATGCACATTAAAATCGCAATGAGTATTCTTTATCATAGTATTGTTTACGACCTAAATGTTTCACATACGGATCATGACCTCGCCGAAATATTACAGCACGCTGTCGCTCGGAGCTGCTTGACTTTGAGCCAAAAAGCCATATATCGAGCCGCAAATAAGTATTCTCGATCATTAGAAACTTGTAAATTGGGTTTTGCTAAAACGTAGGCCTTTATGAATTCCTATTTAGAAGCTTTTAGAGTAGTTCCTACTTCATAGTAAAGCCTTTTATTTTTTTTATAGGCGTCTTTCGGGGGTGTCGGTAAAGGGTTTCACCGTGAGTTGGAAACAAACTAATCAACGCTTGTAAACTACGAGTGCGTCTGGAGAGAAGCAACTCATGAGGTTGCACTTCTAGGAAAACATTCTTGAGCAAAAATGGGGAGCAATTAATAAATCTACGGCGGGCAACGCAAACAGAAAACGTAATTCGTTATTAAAGGTTTTTAATCTTATCGCTTGCATGGAAAACTGCATCACCGTTTTGGCATAATTGCAGAGTACGTTGTGTACAGAATGTTTCTTGTCGAAACTATAAAACTCAATTTTTCTTTTATTTTGCACAAATAGAAACTATGAACAATATCAGGCCAAGCTCGCTTAGTACTGAAAAAAACACCAAAATCGAATAAACCGCAGTTTCAAAATTAGGCAAATTTACATCCTTCAGCAATTTTTTTCCGATCTTCGATTGTTTTTGGAAAAAAAAAATGAAAAGGCAAAAATATCAGTACGACAAAAGTATGGTCGGATACTTTTTGGGTTGTCTGCTCTTCCTGATACATAAAAAGGATCATGCAGAAATGTGCCCCTACTGATTAGGAGGCAACCCTACTGAAAAAAACCATTTGGCACCTATATGAAAATAAACGGGTCCATACCGGTAACCGTTTAAGCATACCGGTCACCAGTTTGTCAAACGGGTCGCCCGTATGGCTCAAAGGGGTCCCCCGTATGAGCCATAACGGTCACCTATTTGGACAAACAGGTCACTCCTTTGACAAACGGGTCGCTCGTCTGGGCAAATGGGCGACTCGTTTGGGCAAAGTTGTCACACGTTTGCTCAAACCGGTGACCATGTTGCAAACTGCACCGGTTTAATCAAACGGCTCTCCGGAGCCCGTTAGATACTGAACGTACAGATCGGCGGCCTGGGCACGCCTAGCGTTTCAGCCGTGGCAGCCAATGTTTCCGGAAGGCTGGGAGCGCCGGTTCATCGATTTGAGATCGTCCGCGTAATGCAAGTAATTATATTTATATTTCAATTGCGCTGATGTTCGCTTATACTGCAACTAAGACTAACACCTCTTTTGTTGATGTTGTTTTACGTAAACGCGCGGCGTCGGTGAGCCGATATTTTTGACAGAACTTTAAAACTTTGTCCATCTTTGTTGCCTCAATTTACTTATTCAGCTCGAATCCCTCTCGCAGAAGACGCGACCGCGTGAAAGAATGTACGTCTAGACTCCGTTTCACTTTAATTCAAGACGCAGCGAAGGTAGCACGCGTACACGCGGCTGCAAGAACATCGAGCATTGCGAGAGCACGCCCGCCGTTGCAGCAGTCGAACTACGAGCTCGCGCTGACTACTTTCTTCGCTCGGGCGCAAGCCGAGCTTCTGGCCGCCCCGCCGCCATTTCCAAAGTTCAAACCTGCTAAAATGCGCGCGCGCGCGCGTGTTTTTATTTTTATTTATTTTTGGTGAGGGGTTACAAAAACACATCGCTCTGGAATGCCTGGGGAGAGGGAGAGGGACTGTTCCCTGTGGCCCTCGCCCCCTCCCTTTCCTCTTGTCACCCGTCACGTGACCCACAGCCGCGCGCGAGCTACACGCTGATAAGCATCGAGATCCGGAAGGGTGCGCCTAGCAGCCGCTTTTTTCTTTGTCTGCTTGTTGTCAGTTCCAGCTCGAACTTAGCGCGTCCACCTGCTTCGATCTGTCGCCTAACACTGCGGTCTTATTAGGATGTGTCTCGACAACGTATTGGATGTGCACCAAAGCTATCAGTGTTTGAAAAGTCCTAGGTCTATATCGGCAACAAGCGATTCTTCAAAGAAGTCAGGAATTCTTGCGGCATGGTTGGGTTCGGCAACTGGACAGCTTGTGCGCCACATCGTGTTGAAACATCCAAGAAGCCGTTCCCTCTCATTTGTGTTTGTGTGGTTGTCCTGCTTTGACCGTTTCGACAAATATCACGGATTACGTCTTTCAAGTCCGCTATTTTTATGGTAAGTGCACTGCAACCTACTTCTTGGCAACGATTGACCGTTCTTCTACTCGTACTCTTCCAGATTATCTATATAATTATGCAGCCACTATTCTCGCGGCAGCCGGGCGAATAATTTCCCGAAAGCCTACCTTCATAGTCTAGAATTACCTTGGTTCTTGTATGGTTTGATATCTTCTCAGTTGTATAAAAGCTTAGAGTGCCTCTCACATTTCACAGATCGCTTGCACGTTTGTACTTGTCCACAGAAGACGTAATAAACTTTGAGGAGAATTGAAAACAATCTTTTGTGTCTGTTTGCCTGTCCATTTGCAAGCACCTACGTGAGCACATTTGTTCTACGTGTTTCCTGCATGTTATAAATAGGTTTATGAGTTTCGGAACGGCTTAAATAAGTTTAAGATAACCAACCTACCAGAGGATCCCCGTTTAGGGCTAGCGCATAATTTCCCGATTCGAATGGCACGTTCAAACATGTGGTCACGTGCAAGGTCGAACGGGCACCTGTATCAAACGGGCAGCCGTATCAAACGGGCACCTGTATCAAATGGGTACCGTTTCGAGCGGGTACCGTTTCAAACGGCTACCCGTATCCCATAATCACGTTTGATCCAAACGGGTCGACAAGTTTGCACCCGTTTGATTTACCAGTTTGTCACCCGTTTGAATTTCAAATGGTTTTTTTCAGTAGGGAATTGTGACATATATATATTATCAAGAAATTTTAACGAAAAAGATTTTCTCCTTTCACCAATTGATACCAAATTTAGGGTTGCCTTCATACTGGTAACGTTTTCTCCAAGTTGCTAATTATTCAAAACAAGTCTAGCACGCCAGTTCTGAACATCTTCAAGTTTGTCTATTCAATTATTGTCCCAAACAATTGTCGCATGTTCCATACATGGGCGAACAAAAGTAAAATACAACGTTTCCATAATTTTCTTGATCCCTGTCGGGAATTTCGTCTTATAAAACTAATAATACCTACTGCGTTTAGGGCTATCGTATCTACATATGCGATTTCCACGTTAAATCAGTAGACTGCATAACCCCCCAAGTACTTTACCTTTGATTCGGTTTCGATTATTTCATTATTTACTACTTAGTCAGATAAAATGGGACATCTTTTTCTAGTAAATCTTATGTGCACACACTTCTTAACGTTTAGATTCATCCTCCAACTGAAGCATTACAAAAATGTTGTCCATATCGGTCTGTAAGATATTGATATCGTTCATATGCTTAAATACCCTATAAACAATGCAGTCATCTGCGAATAGTCTTATATTTGATTGAATTTCGTTGGTAATACCATTAATATATTCCAGGGAGAGCACAGGATCCAAGACAAAACCCTGGGGGACACAAAAGTGATACCTACACATTCGAATTTTTTACTTTTTAGTACCAAACATTGCTTTTGGTCACTCAGGTAGTCCCTGAGTCAAGCTAATAGATTTATAAAAAAATCACATCATATTACTTTGCGAAGAATAGGCAGGGTCAAGACTACTTGCGTGACTCTTACAAATGATAACATATTTGGGAAGTGAGTGGCCAAATTGTGTGTACTTACTTTGTTGGATGGGAATCTATTGAAAAGTAAACAAACTGAAATTAATATTTGAAAGCAGAATGGAGTCATCGCTTCCGCTTAAATGAAAGCTTGGAATACCTTTTAATTCAAACTTTACTGGTGCTACATTATTCATGCTTATAAAAGATCTACGGCGTTGAAGTAGGTTAAAGATTGTTCGATTGTAAAGCTGTTATCACCATGACTACGCCGACCATCGCTTGTGTGCGACATATTACATGCCCTGCTACCTGACGCGTGGTACAAGTATAGAAGTTTTAACTGTTGTAACAGTGGCGGAATTTCGTTCCTTTTGTTTGCGCAATAGACGTGTCATTTTAAACAGACTATTTATTTCGAAACTACTGGCTCACTATATAAAGATGGTGAAGCCTCGTGATCGCTCTCGAAGGAGCAAGTTTAAAAGATTATCTACGAAGGAACAAACAGGCAGGTTTATCAGTACGTATACTTATTTGCACCTGAAATCCATATGCAGTTGTCGCTACGAGCTTATGGGATTAATCAGAAAGGGCCCAAATCGCACCGCCATGGTGTTCGTCTTGTTTCTCTACGTGTCCTTACATCGCCCAACCAATCACAAACAAAAAAGGCCTAATGACTTGCACTTTTTATGCTGCTTGATTGGTCCCATTACCTCGTAGCGCCGTACAGCGTTCATTTACTCAGTGTTACGCTTACCAACAAGAGAAGGAGGAGAAGTTGAAAACGTTGCTCCATGTTACCCGTTCTATAAATTGTGTAATTAAGTCTCCTTCTTCGCTGTCGATTCATGCTTCGGTTTCGATCCGTTTTATGCAGAAAAAAGAAATCGGGAGCCACCATAAAAATAAAATCACAAAAAAACACAAAAAAAACGAGACGTCAAGAACCTTTAATTGAAAAGAGGAAGTTCGGCCTTCTTTGCCACACGATGACGTTAATGGGAAGGCGAGCCCCGGCCGTCACAATTGAGTATCCTTTTCATTTGTCTATTGAACTGTCATTCTAGCCCTTCCGTAGCATGTTCACACCACGTGCTCGGAGAACTCACACCCAGGGGCTGTTAAAAGCGAGGATCTTGATGGCGTGGAATGCACGCTGCAAACGCGGCCTGGAAGCTTGGACTTAGCCCACACCACCTAAAAGATCAATGCCAGTCAACAACCTTATTTACTTCAACTTAACGTCATGTCTTCTCCTCTTACGAGAAGGGTAGTCGAGTGAAAAGTGCTTTCGTTTATAATTTCGGAAAGTGTTTCCTTGGGGAGGATGCAGCCTTCCCACGGAAACTATAGCACTGAAGTTTTTGACCCAGTAGTGTATGACTCACACTATCTAATGCTTTAGTTAGACCCACGAAGATTAGAAGAACTAATTATCTTTCTTCAAGCGCAGTCAGGATTAATTTCTTTTGCGCGAGCAAATCAGATTTTTGTGCCGAGACCTCTACGGAAACCAAATTGGTATTTAGTTAAAAGGTTACGTTCCTACTCAGTGACTAAACTGATTTAAAATAATTATTTCCAGTGCCCTCTAAAAAAGTAAAAGTTTTGATACTGGACTTTAGTTGCACGTGTCATTTGTAGCACCTTTTTTGCGCAACAAGTCACCTTCAATTTACAAAACAAAATGGGCTCTGAGTATGTTTATACATCCTAGAACTTGGTCTGCCTCCAGGGGCGACGAGTCTCCCAGCTGTAGATGCTAAATTTATCCAGAGCGGTACAACCGCTAGCCGGGGTCTTTAGCTTGCATCACACAGTAGTGATACACGACCGCACGCCAGTACGATGCTCATCCAGATCGAAACGGGCAGGGGTGGGGATTGAACCCAGGATCCCTGGGTTCTGCAGCGCCAGCTTTCGCTCCACGTGGTCCGAGTTGGTGTGCGCTAGCCCACTCGGGCACCGATCCCTCCTTCATTTTAGAGTGCAGCGTTCAGATTGGGTTTGAAATTCCTACACACTAGGGGGGTGCCAGAGCCCCAGAAGTGCAGGCTACATTGTCGGCTCCTGGCTCCCTTTTCGACGCTAGCGCCGCGCGTGGTCGCGTACCAAGCTATCCCATAGCGATTCGGAAATGTTTCGTGACCAGGGGCGTATTCAAGGACGGCAATAGTGACGGCCCTAGTGAAGTATTTCACATTGCCATCGTATCTTTCGAAGGAGAGACTGAAAGGAAACGTCCGCTTTTATTTCTGAAGCAACCCTGCGACAGAGAACCTTTTCTAGAGGAATAGGCGGGTCAGTGGCCGATCGAGCAGCGCCCAAAATGTTTCGCCAAGACGTCAACCCAATCATGCTGACGAAAAAGCTCAAATCATGGCGTATTCATTGCTGGTGATTGCTTTAGTCGGTGAAAGCAAACACAAAGAGAACGAGCCACGTGACGAGGCCCTTTTGGAGCCGCTTCATTGGCTGCTTGGGTTCGTAGCCTTGGCTGCGCTCGGACCAAGTGGAACGCGCAGTAGAAGGAGCAGAAGCAGCTCCCGTTTTTCGCATCGCGATTGTCCGCGGCCACAAACATGTAATTTAATGCAATTCGTTACGTCTTTCATTTGTGAACGAAAAATTGAGCAATTTTCTTACGAGTCGATAAATGTTTTTTTTTTTTTTTTTTTTTTTTTATAAAAGAAGACTGGAGGAAATATGTTCATTCCTCTAGACTCGATTATACACACGCTTTTCTTAGAACCTCCAAACTAAAAAAGGGCCTGGCATTCTCCAGGGGCCCTAAACTTGTCAAACACAAAGTTGGAGCCTAAAGTTCGCGGAGAGCGGCGATTGGGGGCTGGCAACAGAATTGCGAAGTCAAAATGCGAAGTCATCGTCCAATCCCTGCACTCCGTAAAATTCGGTCCCAACTTTGTGTTTGACGAGTTTAGAGTCATGATTTAAGACAACCCTGAGACAGGGGAAACAAGAAGGACCAACACGATGATATGATACTTCGTCTTGTTTGTCCTTCATGTCTTCACTGTCTCAGGGTTGCATTAATTGTCATGAACGTAAACCAGCTCGCCTGCGCCTTATCACTCGTTTGAGTTTAGAGACCATGGTGTTCAAAACCTTTCTTCATGTTGTTGCACTTCGCGAGTCTGTTGTTTGCACTTCGCGCAACCATAGATTCGCGATCGCTGGCTAGACAAGATACGTAACCTTAAACGCCCCAAAAATAACGAGAATATCCTTGAAAATATGACTCGTCAAGATAAGGCGCTCTTGTGGGCTCCCAAACAATGGGCATGTGAACATAATTCTCAGTATGTTTGGCATTGAAATGGTAACATCTTTGTCAGGAAGAAGACAGGTGACACTGCCAAAACAATAAAGAGCGAGCACGACTTGTCAAACATGAGCTGAGCAACTGGTGTGTAAGATCGTAGGCAGGGAAGTTTTATAAGGTCTGGAATAATAAATTATGACCTCAATAATCGGCTTCCGATTTTTATGTGTGGCGAAATTAATAACATAAACAAAAAAGTTCCAATTACTTCTACGCAGGTCCGGTGTGCTACGTCAGATAGCTTGGAGAGGTTCGCGGAATGTGTAGCAAATACAAATTGGGATGATATTTTCTCAAAAAGCGATCCCGGTGAGGTGTACTATTTATTTTTTGAGCGGTTTAAAAACTTTTATAAGTGTAATTTTCCTTACAAACTAGTTAAAGTGGGGAAATGCATTCGGAAACCATGGATCTACTTGAAGTAAAAATTGCTATAAAAAAAGCTCACGAAAACTAGAGATCCCAATGACCTTCAGACTTTTAAATCGTACCCCAATCAACTGACAAACGCCCTAAAAAAACAAAAACAACAACGACAAGGGAGCGTTATCATCATGATTCCTTTAGAAACTCTTAGTCAGTCTGACCTTATGTGAAATAACTTAAATTCAGTTATTGAGGGCAAAACTTCGCATCGTGTAGAATGCAGCATTTCTGCAAGGAAGAAATTAACGGGCGTGTCGTTGGCAAACGCATTTAATGAAAGGTTTGTAAGTTTGCGTCAAATTAAGTGTAGAGACGCCGCATGTGATAATATATCCTAAAACTAGGGATTCAATTTTTTTATTGCCAGTTACTGATGCAGAGATGTCCACTGTCTTTATGGAATTAAAAAAAAAAAATAGCCATAGATGTGATGCCGATGCTGTGCGGATTCAGCCGGTGACGTATGTTTTACTGCTGATCACTCCCTTCCTTACTTACATTTTTAATTTATGTTTTTCAATTCGGGTGTTTGCGCAACTTATACGAAAAGCTAGAGTGTCTGTACTTTCTAGAAAGGGGCACAAGACCGACATAAATAATTATAGACCTATCCCCATCTTGGCGGTTTTTTCTAAGGACTTAGAAAAACTTATACACATTTGTCTGTTTAATGTTTTTAATAAGTGTCGTGTAATGGTAATTAATAATGATCAATTTGGGTTCATGAAGCATCGTTCGACAGTTATTGCATTACTAGATCCAAAATAATTTATTTTAGATAGTTTTGAGGCGAACCACATGGCATTAGCCGTATTTATTGATTCTACGAAAGCATTTAATTATTTATACTATAATCCATTGCTAAACTTTTTTTTTTGTCCTTATGGAATTCGGGGTTAACCACTTAAATTTCTTCTGTCATTTGAGTAATTGTAAGCAGTTTGTCTATTTAAATGGCTTTCATATAAAACAGTGTTTTCTCCGGTGGTCCTCAGGGGAGTATTTAGGGACATTTGCTATTTAAAATCTTTGTTAGCAATATTGTTAACATAGATTCTCTTGTTAAATTTGTTATATATGCAGATGGGACAGCCGTTTTATTTTCATTTAAGACTAGTGTTGAACTTATCAACTGCGCAAATGATACTTCAACAGGGCTGAAAAATTTGACATCAGTCCGCACACTTAAAATTAATAGTAATAAACCAAAGCAATTCTTTTTTTAACAAAAAATAGCAGTGTTTTATGACGAGAAGTATCGTAATAAAATTTTATAGAGATTGGGGAGAATTTTAAAAGTCTCGGCGTTATTTTTAACCAGCATTTTTCTTGGGACGACCACGTAAGGGATATATTTCCTAGATTGTTCAGGGTTATTGGATTAATCTCATGAAACCGTATTATTTTACCAAAGAACGTTAAACTACTTATATATCAAACTCTATATATATCTCACTTAATACTGCCACCTGGTTGGGGAACAACCTTTGGTTAAAATCTATAAAAATACATCTATTACAAAATAAATTTGTTCGCCTTATTGCGAATGTTTCTTATATTTCAAGCACCCAGGGTTTGTTTAAAAAAAATATAGTTTATTCCAAAGTCAAATTGGACGTTTAGTGTTTATACAGTGTAAGGTTGGTCTGCCAGGATGAGGCGACACTGGTTTACACTGTAGATGAGCAATTTGGCCAGTGCAGTACGACTGCTAACCTGGGGTCTTTAACGTGCTCACGCAGTAGTGATACACGACCGCACGCCGGTACGATGCTCATCCAGATCGAAACGGGCAGGGGTGGGGCACGAACATAGTTTATTCCCTGTTTTCGATATGTATATGTATCAACTGATGGTCCGCTTTAAGGTAGAAAAAAAAAGAAACCTGGATATTTTGGCCAAACTTTCTAAACGAAGGGGACATGTTACCTCTTATCCAACTCGTTCGGCGGCACCTTGGGCTGTGCCTCTTTGGCATAACAACTATTCCCTGCAGTCTCTAAAGTATATGCTACCTGCTTTGGTCA